GTTTACTCTGGGTTCAAGAAAATGTGGATATGGATTCTACTCAACTTATAGTTAACAGCTACTATTTTTCTCGCAGTGGCATCACAATCAGCATTTTTTTCTCAATAGTACAAATTTAACAGACGTAAAATCAATGGAGTAATATTTAGGGGGTGATTGATAGAGGAGATTTTTTTTTTTTTTGGTAGGAAAGTTAAAAAAAATTATTTGGTTGACGAAAATTTTACCAGAAAAATTGTCACAATTTTCATCAACCCCCCCCTGGTTATATGCAAATATCACATTGAGAGTGGACAACTTCAATCGTGTGTTTCTTTTTCTTTTGCGTTTGATTCTGAATTGCTGGACAAATGACTTTGGTGAATAAATTTTTATATCTCCTCTATCCCATCATCGATTGCCAAACTCAGATGCATGAAAATCTCAACAAAAAATTTGAACCAAACACTACCTCAGTGACATCTAGTTCCAGCGAACGACAAAGTAACCCTGTCGGCCAGGTCTCAAAAAATGAGGCCTCAATTACGGAACTAGATCCACGTACCCAAGATTCTAATCATACGGGTGACGACATTCTTAAGCATAAATAGTTCAAATTTTTTCAGCAAGAAATTACTAGTAGAGATGACCTAATCTTATTGTTTTACGTCTAAAGGAATTAGTTTCAGTTTAAAAATGTGGGAACCTGGGGAAAAAAAATAGAAAAATAAAGATTGCATTTGCAGTTTATCAAGAAGAATAAAATGTACATTGACGGAGTATTCTTGGACCCGACCACTTAAACAAGATAATATTCAAATTTGATTTCTAAATATTAATTCAAGTTTCTTGTTGTGTATTGAGCAACGAATTAGTTTCTCTCGCCATTTTCTAGAAACTTCCCTTGTGAATATAGATTCATTAATAGGTTTTTTTTAATCTTTTTTCCCCTTATTAAATAAATAATAACTATTTTGCCCGTTATCCGAAATTATTCACCAACCTGCCTTTTTTTAATTGATTAACTTAGTTATTTACTCGGTTAAACGGTCAAAAAATGGATAAAAGGTTAACCCGTGATTTTATCGATTAATTAAATCTCCTTCTTAATCGATTAAATCACGACAGAATGAATTTTGTAAATCGCGTTATTTAATCGATTAAAACCATCATTTAATTGATTAAATCTCGCTGATGGGTTTTTAAAAAAATAACCCATTTGGCCGATGAGGTTATACTGCAACCCTATTCGATTAACCCTCCAAAGAAAAACCTCAACTCGAGATTTACTCCACAAATTTTCATCCAATCGTGTGTATTCAGAAGATAAGGTCTCATACTAGTTTCTTCATCCTCCATGGTAAGTTTGCTCTGATTTGCATTATTTTTTGTTGTTATTTTTCAGATTTAAGAAATGTAGACCGAATGGGTTAGGGTTTCGTTCGATTGGCATGATATCTGATTTCGTTCTATGTTTTGATGATTGTTTAGTCTAGGGTTTTGATGAATGTTGATGGATTTAGGGTTTTGTTTTCATAGTTTTTGAAGGAAAAAAATTTGGACGAAATTGTGGGTTCTGATTTTATTTTATTTTATTATTATTATGTTTTATTGGTTGTTGATACATTATGATGTGTTATTGTAGGTTTCTGTTGTAATGGCTGGCTGCAAAAGATCAAACAACACTGACGGTGGGAGACGGACGAAACAATGACAAGACCGGCCTTCTTCTTCAAAGCCACAAAAGCCTGAGCCTGAGCCTGAGTCCGTCGACTTCCCATTTGGGTATCTGTTTGAGGATGACCCCTCTGTGCATGCTGCATTTATATATGACTGTTGAGATATATAAAATCATTAATGTAACCTCACCCAACAGCTTAAGTTTTTGAGTTGAATTGGTTCTTTACATGGTATTAGAGCCTCGGTGTACCGGGTTCGATCCTCTCCGCCCCCCACTTTCTTTCTAGTGGAATTTCTTTCTTCGCAGAAGTAGGTGGGCCTGTGCATTGTCCACCCTTCAAACCCAGTGGGCTCTCGTGTGAGGGGGCGTGTTGAGATATATAAAATCATTAATGTAACCTCACCCAACAGCTTAAGCTTTTGGGTTGAATTGGTTCTTTACAGTGACCATGTGAACAGACCCATATTTGCACAAAAATCATTAGATACAACATTCTTTATGACGGAGGGATTTGACATTGTTGCTGTGTTGGAGGGGGCACATCTGAAAGTGTTTGTTGTGATGCTTTATCTCTATTCAGAGGTTATGGTGATGGCCTTTTACCATAATCTCAATTATGTATATGGTGAGCTGAAATCCCGCTTTCGGAAAGGAGATACATTTACTATAATTTTGATTGGGGAGAGGTTATACTTACTACCTTTTTTTCTTACTACTTGGTACTACTAAATCTTAGCCGTTGATTTTCGCCAATCTAACGGTTATAATTTATTAGAATTAATAATTACTTAATCAATGTGACCCAATAAATCATAACCGTTAGATTGACAGAAATCAACGGTTAAGATTTAGTAGTAACAAATAGTAAAAAAAAAGTAGTAACTATAACCTTTTCCTTTTGATAGACATTAAACATTTTTATTTATCCATCTTTATATACCATATTAGAATACATTTTGTTGATAATAACTTAGTCTCTTAACGATCTCCTTTAAATAGTGACACATGTTATTCTTAATTTCTTTTATTTTAAATTTAAAAGTCAAATTATTTTGAATTAGTTAAACAAATTTATAATACAGTATTTTTCATTCAAATTAAATTAATTAATTTTTTATAATTTAAAATATTTTTCCTTAAATATGTATTTTAATTTATATTTGAAAATTCAAATTTAAAATTCAAATTTATAATAGACAAATACGTGCTTATATTTGTCTACCAAACTTACATATAATAATTTTTTTTATTCTTTTGACGTTGTTAATATATAATAATAATTCTTAGATGAATACCAATATTATGCTGTGTTTTTCTAAATTGAATAAATATAATCCTTGAATACATTGACCATGCTAATATAAAATAAAGTACAAATCTTACCAAAAAATAAAAAAATTTGCGCGTTCGACAATGATAAAAGCCTTTAAAATTGACAATGAAATAATCAATGGAGGGATTTCCGCGTTTGTATCAATCAACCAGGGTACCAGACAACCACCGTCTTTTAATTTTAAAAAGTTGGTGAGCATTGTACTAGGCGTGTTAGCAGGTTTACGGTTACAATATTAAGTTTGTGTTTAAATATGTAGCTATGACCTAATCAATTATTTGTTATGAATATAATTATTAATCTATGACTTATTTTATTTATAAAAATAAAAGTTTGGTTTAACCTATTAAAAAAAGTAAAATAATAAAGATTTATCCAAATATAATATACGAAACGACACTAATAATTTCACAAAGATTCATAAATTCAATGTATATTCAAAAATATAATATAGAACAAAATATTCAAAAAGTCTATTTAACTAATAAAATGAAGTGAAATGGATTAAAGAGAAAAGAACTACTATAAATAGTATAAAATATAAAATAAAAATAAAAATTAATATACCAAGCTAATTTGAGAGATTTTAAGGTCGAAATTTTGAATTGAAATTTGAAATTTTTTTATTAAATAAGTTTTTATGGTTTGCAACAATTAATTTTAGATATTAATACCTAAACCTTCACATGACAAACGTCCTTGTTCATTTAGCACCCCTGATCATGGAGAATTGGAGATGGAATGCTACTGGAAAAGCGGACAAATAATGTATAAAACTTCGAATATAAAACTCGCTGTAAGACCTTAAAGATATATGAATTAGTCAACTGGAGTTATTTATAATGTCCTTGTTAAGTGCACTTAATGGAAACCTAAACACCGCAACATGTCACCATTCTAGAAGTTGAGACGTTAAAACAAGCAATAACACCCACATGGAATTGGGCAGAGTCATAAGTAAGCCATGCACTAAAATATTAGTGTACTCCCTCGAGAGGAGGGGGAAAAAAAAAACCATAGAATAGCAGTGCATAAAAAATGCCTTGTTTTGATTTAATATTTCTTATATAAGAGATAATTTTATTTGTTACACATACATTATAAGTACGTGAAATCTATATTTTTTTTCTTTTCTTCTTATATAGTTTCACATATTTTTATTAGAGGAGAGATATTTTTACTACTAAAATTTTCTACTACCAACTTACTATCTATCTAATCACCATTGGATCAACATTTTCTCTTTTTTCAATTTTTTTTTAGCATTCTCTCTCTTTGATTCAATGATAATTAGATAGGTAGTAAGTTAGTAGTATAAAATTTTGGTAGTAAAAATATCCTCTCTCTTTTTATTATGTGTAGAAAATAAAATTATCTCTTACAATAAAATTATCTCTTATGATATAAGAAATAATATTTTTTTTCCTTAAAAAAATTGAAGGAAAAAAAAATGTTGGGATCTCGTAAGCTTCTTGAATGTGCATGTGTGGTCCATGGCAAATATATTTTGTTACCAAAAAAAAAAAGTGATATATTTGAGGGAAAAAAGAAAAGATCTTTGTTTCAAGGCTTGCGAGATTGCATTGGGGTTTGAATCAGACACATACTTCTTCAACCAAATAAATATAATTTTATTTAAAAAATAAATAAATAAATAAATATAATTTAGATTTAAAAAAAAAAAACAAGGGAAAAAGCTCAAAGAGCGTTCAAGGATAGTTTGGAGCTGCTTTGACTTTGCAGAATAAACAATTTACTTTGAAAGTTAATATAATTCTTAGAAGAAAAATACACAAGCAAATCTGTAACTGTGTCAGAAGCGCTCTTCCTAAAGTATAATTCTAATCATAAGTTTTGTCTTGGTCTGAATAAACACTATTGACTTTGTGCTTATCCCACAGTTTGATCGTTTCAAAGGCGGTGTCTACGAGAAGTAGCTCATCTCTTAAACTTCATAATGTTACGAACATAGAACCTAGCTGGTCCTAGGGAACATTCTCAAAGTCTATGGCACCTTCAAAAGTGATTTCTCTTCTCTGTCTCCTTGTTATACTCATATCTCATACCACCGCCCAGCCAAACTTCCTTTACTATTTTTGCATATATGATAAAGGCAACTACACTGAAAATAGTACCTACCAGACCAACCTCAATGCTCTTTTGTCCAGTTTATCTTCCAACACACAAATTGATTATGGCTTCTACAATTCCTCTGAGGGTCAAAACTCTGACAAAGTAAATGCAATTGGGATGTGTAGAGGAGATATTAAGCCAGATGTATGCCGCAGTTGCCTCAATGATTCAAGAGTCCTTCTCACACAGCTTTGTCCAAACCAGAAAGAGGCCATTGGTTGGTATGACAATTGCATGCTGCGCTACTCAAACCGTTCAATATTTGGTATTATGGAACCTGATCCTGCGTACACTCTGTGGGTCCAAAATAATGCAACTGATATGGATCAGTTTAATCAAAAGCTTATGGACTTGGTGGATAGCCTGAGAAGCAAAGCTGCATCCGGTGATTCCCTTAAAAAGTATGCTGCAGGAAGCGCAATAGGTCCAAGCTTTCAAACTATATTTTCTCTACTACAATGCACACCTGATTTATCAGAGCAACAGTGCAATGATTGCTTGGTTAGAACTATCTCAGAAATCTCAACTTGTTGTGCTGGCAAGACTGCTGGCAGAATTGGAAGACCAAGCTGCAATCTTAGATTTGATACATCTCCCTTCTATGACTCTACAGCCGATGCCTCTCCACCACAAGTGCCTCCTGCTCCTCCTCCTTCTCCTCCTCCTCCTCCTCCTTCAGTCACCAATACCACTTCCACAGGAGGTACCTGTTTTGTTCTTACTAGTACTGCTTAGCACTCAGCTACCTAAATTTGTCCCTTCATCAAATCACATCTATACTCAAAAATATTCTCTCTGTGTTTGTCTGTTTTTTTAAAGTTCAACTGTCAGAAGGGTCTTTTGGGTTTCAAATTTTCAATATAGCTTTGACATTGAATATCGTAGTCAGTGTTCAACATGGAATTCTGTATTTTGCAGGAAAGAGCAACACAACTCGAACTGTCATTGCGGTAGTTGTGCCAATTGTAGCTGTCGTTGCACTCCTCATCTCTCTCTGCATCTTCTTAAAAGCAAGAAAGAAAAGGAAAAATATTGGCATGGACAGTAAGAAAAAATATTGTTTATTGTGATTTCTCATTAACAATAAGAAAAAAGTTTACACAACTTTCAGTGTTAACATGATAAAATTTTCCTCGATATAAATACAACTCATTAATCAAAAAAAAAAAAAAAAAAATATATTATGAGATTTCGGTACATCTAAAAAAATGTGTTGAATAACTCAGACAGAGAAGGGAAAAGTTATCGTTAGCCATCATGATTTTACTGATTTGCTGCTGTTAATCTTAAATCACCTTTCAAGAACTAAAATTGATTAAACTCCTTTCCCATTTGTAGCTGAAGTTGACAATGAAATTGAACCTACTGAGACATTGCAATTCAACTTTAACACCATAAGAATAGCTACAAATAACTTTTCTGAGACAAATATGCTAGGGCGAGGAGGATTTGGACCTGTTTACAAGGTAAGAATATGCAGTTACATTTTAGAAAAATATTAATTTTCAGATTGTGCCATCCACTTACTGTTGGCCCCAAGCTACATCTAGCTAACTCTGACATATTTTCAGGGTAAGCTTTCCAATGGACAAGAAGTTGCTGTTAAAAGGTTGTCAATGAATTCAGGTCAAGGAGATACAGAATTTAAGAATGAAGTGCAGTTAGTGGCCAAGCTACAACACCGAAATTTAGTCAGGCTACTTGGTTTCAGTTTGGAAAGAAATGAAAGGCTACTGATCTATGAGTTTGTTCCCAATAAAAGCCTTGATTACTTCATATTTGGTAAGTTAGAACTTTTCTTGATTGGATTGTACCTTTACTGATATTTCAGTTCAGCTGAATGGTATGTGCATAATTATAGTACACATGGTTTAAAAGATTACATTATTACAACATGGCTTGGGTTTGCAGATCCAATTAAGCGTGCACATTTAGATTGGGAAAGGCGGTATAAAATCATAGGAGGCATTGCCAGAGGCCTTCTTTACCTTCATGAGGATTCGAGACTGCGAATTATTCATCGTGATCTCAAAGCAAGCAACATTCTCTTAGATGAAGAGATGAACCCCAAGATATCAGATTTTGGCATGGCAAGATTGTTTGTTGTGGATCAAACTCAAGGAAATACAAGTAGAATTGTTGGAACTTAGTAAGTACGACGATGTGCAAGGTTTAAATAATTGTTTTACTCAGTTCTTTCTAAACAAAATGGAGGAAAACTTTGTGCTAATTGAGCTTGACCATATTGACATGTAGTGGATATATGGCACCTGAGTATGTAAGGCAAGGACAATTCTCTGTGAAGTCAGATGTTTTCAGTTTTGGCGTACTGGTTCTAGAGATAGTAACTGGCCAGAAAAATAGTGGCTTTCGTAATGGAGAGGATGTAGAGGATCTTATAAGCTTTGTAAGTCTGTTCCTTCTTTTCCAAGTTTTCATTGTTAGTTTTCTTTGTCTTTTGAAGTAAAAGATTATAAATTAGGCATAACTAGTTCAGATGAAATTTCAGAAGATAAAAGTATGTGAACTAACCTTTTTTGTAATTGTGCAAATCCTTGCAGGCCTGGAAAAAATGGAGGGAGGGAACAGCATCAAGTCTCGTAGATTCCAATATAAATAAAGGTTCAAAAAATGAAATTATGAGATGCATCCACATTGGTTTACTGTGTGTTCAGGAAAATTTAGCTGACAGACCAACCATGGCTTCTATTGTACTCATGCTTAATAGCTACTCTCTCACTCTCCCAGTACCTTCAGAGCCAGCATTTTTTATGCACAGCAGAGGTTTGTCAGATATTCAGTCATGGGGGTATAATTCAGGGGCAACAGAGTCAAGCAAATCTGTTAAAGCTTACTCAAGTGAGGTCTCAACTACTGAGCATTACCCTCGATAGAATTCAGTGATATAATCATCCAAGTGACAATCAACTGATCAAGACAACCATATTGTTTTTTTTTTTTTTTCCGCTGGTGGGGGTTGGGTCTTTATGTGTTGGTGTTTGCTTGATGACCTGTAAACAACTAAAGCTGATGTTCAACCTGCAATTTTGCAATTGAAACAACTGATAGAGTGGCTGTATGAATGCAATCTCTTAATGTCATTATGTAAGCCAATAAAACTTAAGTAAACAACGCCTGATCCTTAGGAAGACCTATTAGGCATTGTGCATTTCAAACTCAGAACGCATGGCGTGCGCAGGGTGCATTTGTGTAAAGTGTTGGAAACACATATAAATATGTGTTATACAGGTTAAGTCTATTGGGAGAGATAAGGGAAAGAAGAGTGCTTCATTAGCTTGGCTAAGACAAAAGTTTACGACGCAACTTTGGATTAAATACTGAGATATTTTATATTTACAAACTACATTATATATTATGGGTAGTACATACTTATTAGAAGAAGAAATTGGAAAGAACGGTAACAAATTTCATTCTGTAAAACTGAGAGTCATGTGTACAGAGAGCATTGCTCTTATATCAGCAAAACGTGTACTAACAGAAAAGAGAGAGAAAATAACAAACTGAGGCATATGTGGCACATGAGCCAATAACCAATATCCTATACATCAGTAACTAACCAAAAGAAAAAAGAATAAAAGTGTATATTCTAATACTCCCCCTCAAGATGGAGAGTGAATATTGTGCACTCCCATCTTGGAAAGAAGAGAAGAAAACTGAGCCGGATGCAGTGCTTTAGTGAAGATGTCAGCCAACTGATGTGCAGATGCAATAGGAAAAGTTTGAAGACAGCCTTTCACAATTTGTTGTCGAACCAAGTGGCAGTCAATTTCAATGTGTTTTGTTCTTTCATGGAACACATGATTTGCAGCGATGTGAAGGGCAGCAGTATTGTCACAAAACAAGTGAGCAGCAGTGGAATGAGTAATGTGAAAATCTTTGAGAAGAGAAAATAACCAAATAAGTTCACAAGTGACAGCAGCCATGGACCTATATTCAGATTCAGCTGATGATTTTGAAACAGTAGCTTGTTTTTTGGATTTCCAACTGATTAATGAATTGCCCAAGAAAACACAAAAACCAGAGATGGACCTTCTAGAGTCAGGGCAAGAAGCCCAATCTGAATCAGAAAAAGCATTTAATTGAATTTTGGAAGATGAAGAAAACAATAAACCTTGACCTGGAGTGCCTTTCAAATAGGACAGGACCCTGTAAACAGCAGCAAGATGGACAGTTCTAGGGGCAGACATGAATTGGCTGAGATGATTAACAGTGTAGCAAATATCTGGGCGAGTTATTGTGAGATACAATAAGCGGCCAATCAGTCTACGGTATTGGGATGGATCAGAGAGGAGATCACCTGAATTGGATGAAAGTTTGAGGTTTGGCTCCATGGGTGTGGATTTTGGTTTGCAGCCAAGGTAACCAGCATCAGACAAAATTTGCAATGTGTAATGGCGTTGACAAATAGATATACCTACTGAGGACCTAGCCACTTCAATGCCAAGAAAGTATTTCAAAGAACCCAGATTTTTTAATTTGAATTTGTTGTCCAGGAACGAAGTAAGGTGGTGAATCTGTTCAGAACTGTTGGAGGCTACTAAAATATCATCAACATACACTAAGACAGCAACAAAAGAATTATTTGAATTCTTGGTGAATAAGGAATGATCAGTTTGAGAGTGAGAAAACCCAAGCGATAAAAGAGTGGAAGAAAACTAGCAAACCATTGACGAGAAGCTTGTTTCAAACCATATAGTGACTTATGAAGCTTGCATACAGCATTGGATGGGAGAGACTCCCCCTGTGTAGGATAACCGGGTGGGAGAGACATGTAAACCTCCTCATCAAGCTCTCCATGTAAGAAGGCATTATTGACATCTAGTTGAATGAGATGCCAATTGTTTATAGCTGCAAGAGCAAGGAGAAGCCGAACTGTTGTGATTTTTGCAACAGGAGAATAAGTCTCCATGTAATCCAAACCTTCTAGTTGAGTAAATCCTTTAGCAACCAAGCGAGCTTTATAACGCTCAAGAGACCCATCAGAATTGTACTTGACCCGATACACCCATTTGCAACCAACAAGATGTTTTCCTTCAGGCAGAGAGACTATGGACCATGTCTGATTGGTTTTGAGAGCAGTGATTTCTGCATTCATGGCATCACACCATTCGGGTAATTGGGAGGCTTCAGAATAGGATGAGGGTTCAAAATGAGAAGATATATTATTAATGAGGGTGAGGTGTGAAGGTTTGATTTTGGAATATGATAAATGGGCTGAGATGTGATGTATGGTAGAGGTTGAACAAACAAAATCTGAAAGATGTGGTGGAGGTCTTTTGGTGCGTGAAGGCCTAGTGGTGAGATGATCAGATGCTTCAGTGGTAACATTAGGAGAAACATATTCTGACTTATGAGGTAATGAAGTCAGAGGGGTGGAGAAATGAGTAGAAGAAACAAAAGGAAATATAGACTCATGAAATATAACATCTCTGGAAACAACTATCCGATTGGTGGATAAGTCAAGAAGCTTGTAAGCTTTAAATCCAGGAGGATAGCCTAGGAAGACAGCAGAGGAAGAACGGGGAGAGAATTTGTGTTTGTCACGAGAAAGTATGGAATAGAAGCATAAACAACCAAAATTACGAAGATGAGTACAAGAGGGAGGTTTGTGGGAAAGAAGTTCAAAAGGAGTTTTGTGATGAAGAAGAGGAGAAGGAACACGGTTAATGAGATAAACCGCAGTGACAACACAATCAGACCAGTATGCTAGGGGAATATGGGATTGGAAATGCAGGGCACGGGCAACATTGAGAATGTGTTGATGTTTGCGCTCAACAACTGAGTTTTGTTGAGGCCTTTCAACACAGGAATGAAAAATTTGAATGCCTTTAGAAGAATAAAAATCAGTGATGTTAAACTCAGGGGCATTGTCACACCGAATAGATTTAATAGGAGAGGAATACTGAGTAAGGATCAAATTATAAAAAGAAGGAAAAAATGTGGAAAAATCAGATTTATTTTTAAGAAAATGTACCCATGTAAAACGTGTGGCATCATCCACAATGGTCAAAAAATATTTATCACCATAAACAGAAATGGGGTTAAATGGTCCCCAGATATCACAATGTATCAAGCTAAAAGCATTTGCAGACATATGAGGATTCAAAATAAAAGGTAATTTTTTTTGTTTAGACAAAGGACAAACAGAACAAGGTGTGTGTGAAATAGTGTCTGTAAAATGCAAAGCATCTTTCATTGAATGTAAACGGGAGGGGGGATGGATGGCTTAACCGAGAGTGCCATAAAACAGAAGAGGGAACAACAGTAGCCGAACAAAAGGGACGGGGAACATCAGAAATGGGGAAGAAATTTGAGGAATCAAAAAAATACAAGTCACCCGTGCGCCTAGCAATCACAATCGTCTTGTGAGTTGTAGCATCCTGAAGCATACAAAAAGAACCAGAAAAAAAAAAGCAAGGACGTTAGAATCTCTGGTTAGAGCACTAACGGAGATGAGGTTCAATGTAAAAGATGGAACAAAAAGAACGCGATGCAATGTTAAAGAAGAAGAAAGGGAAACGTTTCCAACAGAGGAAATTGGAATGCTAGAACCGTTAGGAAGAGAAATAGAAGCAGATGAAGAAGGGAAGGAAGGATGTGAAAGAAGAGAGGAGAGGTAAGTGACATGGTGAGTGGCACCAGTGTCAAGTACCCAAAGATTTGAAGGAATAGATGATGAAATCTTACCACTGAAGCTTGCGATCATGGGATTTGGAGCAGATGAGGTAGTTGATGACGAATCAGTTGAAGGTGTGGTGATGGTGGGATCAGAGTTTCTGTGGAACAGGGAAATTAGCTGATGATATTGAGTGGGGGTGAGGGGATCGTGTGGGGGTGGAGAGGAATAGGGTTGAGTAGTGGCTAAGTGAATTTGGGCCTGATGTGGAGGTGGGCCATATGGGTTTTTGGGGCTTCTGGGTTTGTAACCCGGTGGGAAGCCATGAAGCTTAAAACACTTGTCTCGGACATGGCCCAATTGCTGGCAGTGGGTGCAGTAAGGACGAGGGCGGCGTGGAGCGGAGACAGCGGCAGTAACCGGCAATGAAGCCATAACAGATGCAGCAGGAACGGTAGAGGCGGTGTTCATCATTGGAGTATCAAGGGATGGAGGGAAGGAAGGCGTGATTTGCCTTTGGCGTTCCTCTTGTATGACTAAAGAGAAGACGCGAGATAACTGAGGCAGTGGTTCCATAAGAAGGATCTGGGCCCTGATTGAAGAAAATGAGTCGTTCAACCCCATTAAAAATTGCATGGCATAGTCTTGTTGTTGGGTGGATGATAAAATCCGAAGAGCACCACAAGTGCAAGCAAGGTTGGGAGAATAATCTTTGAGTTCATCCCAAAGAATCTTCAGCTTTGTATAATAAGTGTTGACATCCAGACTCC